GGCCTGCGCACTTTACTTAGAATTGTTTTAAAAAACAATGAATATATTTCAGTTACAGATGAAATCCCTGTGCCATCTCTCCCAAACCCAAGGCCCCATCACCCTTCTTTGGAAGTGCCCATGAGCATGAATTTGGTGTTTATCAACCCAAGTATGTTTTTATAGTTTGTCAACAAAGGCATGAATTCCAAAACAAAATATATATACACAAATGTTTTAACCTGTTATAAAATAGCACCATACTGTATATAGCCTTCTGCAATTTGCTTTTTCAACTTAACATTGTATGTTTAAATTTATCTGTTTTGCAACATTCACCATCAGTCTTCATCTGTTTCATTTAGAACGGAAGCTCAGTTTTCTCTGCTTTTGCTTATTCGCTGGGCAGGTTGGCCATGCAGAAGTTTCCCATCTACTGGTAAGAATGAGGAATTGCAAGTTTTTGGAAACGACCATAATTTTAATCCCATCTGTTTATCGTGGAGAAACTGATGTTTTTTAAAGGTATATTTTTGGTCTTTTTCATATAGTTTTTAAAGATGACCTGAGCTATTCAAGTAATTCCCCAAAGGTTCTTCTATGTGCTGTGAAGACCAAAAAATGCCCCTGAGCTGTTTGGCTGCAAACAAGGTGGCGGGGGCGGGGAGGTCTTATCCTAGGAGTTAGTGAGCCTGTAGTCTGGTCCTGGCTCTGTGTCTTTGGCAATTTATTTAACTTCTCTGGCCTCTCATTTTTCTCATCTATCAAATCGAATCAATTGGACTAGGTTTTCTTGGGGCTCATTTTCAATGATCTGTGAAATATATTTAAATAAAAACTATCAAGCTGAAATTTTAAGTCATGTGCTTTACTAGAGTTTCATTTTCTGTATGAAATCATTTTTTATTACAACACTTTGGTAAGGAAAGTGCACAGAGTATGAATACCCATTTGTTAAAGGGCAGAGTATATGAAGCTATTAAAATTAATGACTAGGTGTATAGTTGTGATTTTGCCTTCATCACACATGTTGCTCACATCTATAATCTGCTTACCTCTAAGTGCGTGGTGATAGTCCCTTGCTCCAGTTATGACATTTTTTTACAAGGAAATAGGATCCACTTGCACAATCCATTTCATTGGGCAGATTTCTGCAGCGCGGGCCGGGGGGCCTCTCCAGGGTGTGTTGCGAGGCTGTGGCAGTGGGCGTGTGGTCTGAGCACCAGCAGCTCATTGGCTGTTTCAATTACCCCCCAGGGCCCTTCAGAAGCAAGGAGAAGGCTCTGTGATTAACACTGTGGTCTTTGGAACCCTCCCTCAGTCTTGGATCAGAAAAAGAAAATCGGTCATTTGGGAGGATGTTTGAATTCCTATTGCAGCTATAAATACCTATCAGTCTCAAAAAAAAGAGCTGCGTGGAATCAAAAATATAATCGCCCTTGAAACACTGGAAGCTTTATAGTCACACAAAGACGCGCTCCCTCGGCCTCCCTCGGCCTCCCCCTCCTACCCGCTCCTACCACACAGTCTCAGACACGACAACAGAAATCTTTTACAGTGTCCTTTACCTTGAGGTAAATTTAAAGTGTGATCAGGACTGAAAACAACACAGGTGCTAAAGCTGTGAAAGTAAATCTTGATAATTGCCCAAGCACCTAATAATTTTTCACCAATACTTTGTTTAAAAAATGTAAGTTGATGTGAATAAAGAATTATGATGATTTGCCCTTGAACAGCCTGCTTTGCACTCCTTTTTAGTGGAGGAACAATTCTAAATTATTGTTGTGGGAAGTTGCCCTATTTTGCCTTATTTCAGAGAGAAACCATGTACTTTTGTGGAAAACCACCCTCATAGTGTAACATTTTAGCCCATTGTTTCTCAGATTTTTTTTTTGCAGTCATGGACACCAATTGAAACATCTTTGGGGAATATGATAAAACTTATGTTAAAAACTTATGTCAGCCCTGGCTGGTGTGGCTCAGTGGATTGAGTGCCAGCCTGTGAACCGAAGGGTCGCTGGTTCGGTTCCCAGTCTGGGTACCTGCCTGGGGTGCAGGCCAGGTCCCCAGTAGGGGATGCAGGAGAGGCAACCACACATTAATGTTTCTCTCCCTCTCTTTCTCTCTCCCTTCCCCTCTGCCTAAAATAAATAAATAAAATCTTTTTAAAAAAATACATACATTAAAACTGTATTTTTCCCCTCATCTATATAACAGCCTTACCCCCACAGACTTTGCAAATTATATTTCAGATGAGGGGGACTTCCTTTTTCAATTTTATTCTCATTAACTCTTCTAGGACTTTTATTCATTGCATAGGATGGGCTGTTCAACTATGTCCATGAAGCATGTACGGCGTGTTACTAGTCAAATGGCAGGGCTCTGAGTGGGTAGGGCTCTCGCGGTACTCGCCCCTCGTCCTCACCTTTCCCCCACGGACGCCTTTCATTTCACTCACACTCACTCTCACTCCTGCTCAGAGCTGCGCTTAGATTCCCTCACCCCATCTCCTTTCCTATAGCTCTTTCCTCACTTTAAGTATCGTCTCTCCCACTTACATTAGCCGCCTCTGCCCTGATCCGTAGGCGTATTTTGCCTTACACCCTAGGCGGGTGAACAAACACAATACTATCAACCTGTCCAGAAAGCGCTGCAATTACGGAGGGTAGCTAAGCAGGTGGTGACAAGAGCATGCAGGTGACTCTGGGCCAGGCCTGCCGAGCTGTCCCACTCCAGCAGGGACGAGAGGCAGCGGGGAGGGGGAGGCGGCACCGTTGCTGCAGGTTCCCGGAGCAGGAAGGCTGAGGGTGCGCCCCCTGAAGAACGAGCAGGAAGGAAACTCGCCAAGAGCACGGAGAACCAAGCCTGGAATCCCAAGGTCAAGTGCCAGGGCAACATCCAAAGGGTCAGAGGGGGCGCCGCAGTCCGCGGGGTAGGGCCGCATTTCCCTTGCGTTTGGCTCTGTCGGTATGTGGGTGCGAGCAAGTGCCAGCAGCTGAGCAGAGAGCTGCCAACACAGGCCGACAGCAGGAGCGTCGGAGGAAATGCGGTGGCAGAAGAGGGCGCCGCAGGGGCGCGTGAGGCGGGGTGAGAGAGGAGCGAAGCTGGCAGAGACAGCCGGGCGGGGCCACGCACCGGCAGTGACCGTGAAGTTGGCACAGGTGAGTGCCAGCTGCTGGTCAGGACCAACCGGCGGGCCAGGTCCCCTGCCAACGTCGTGCTGGGCTTGCACTGAGGGAGGGGAGGCAATTATGCAAAAGTAGAAGAGACACAGTAGGGCAGCCAAGGTAGGGAGTGGTCAGCATGGACGGACAGAGGGAAACAGGGCAGGCCGGGTGGGTCCAGCTTTCCCCCCGCGATCCAACAACCAAGTTAAAGTGCCAGTCGATTTAAGCCAAGGTCAATTTTAATTCTATGCTTTGCTGGTGATATAGGATCATTAACTGTATCAATAATGCTCGTGCTAAACCCACTCTGAAATGGGGGCAATTGTATCTGTTATTATTATTCTGGATAGGTTCAATCAAGAGGAAAAGATGAAGGCAAAGGCATGTCACTTTTTTTTTCTTAACTGCTGCATATTAATAAAGTCTAGGAAATTTTGAGGGAATGTAATGACAGTGCTGAGATTACTAAGACTTTTTCTTAAGGTTTTATTTACCTTCCCGAGCGGAAATTGAACCAGCGACCCTTTGCCTTTCCTGACAATACTCAACAAAGTGAGCCACAGTGGTCAGGGCGAGATTGATGGGACTTTGTGTTGAGACTTCATTTTCCAGTAATAACATTTCAGTTGGTCACATTTGTATCTTCCACTGAAGTGTACATTGAATTCAGTGTAAATAAATGCCAACTGAGTACTAATACAATCTTTTTCTTTACACAGAAAATAAAGGTGAGTATTTATGTACATGCACGTGTATGCATCAAGACTGAAAGTTAAACACAGGTTAATGTCTTTGGCTAAGAACAATCAATGGACAAATTCATAAGCCAGAATTTATAATTCCACCAGGAATTTAATGAACGTGTTAGTGTAACTAAGATTGTCAGCACTTAAAAAAGATAATCCTGCCCCTATTGTAGCTACAGATTGTAAATCTCATGTCAGATCAAATTTTTTGCCAACATATACTAATGGCTTTACTGAAAACAGAGGATATTTAAGATGAAACTAAAAGTGTAAACACAACCTGAATTCATGAATATGCTCATTGTGCTTTCTTAATATATTAGCAAATATTCAGTCTTTAAGATGATCTGTGATATCATCAGCAATATCATTGGCGCATGATTTTTAACATGATTCGTCCAAAGTTTCTATTCCTCCATCCTAGCAACAGAGCCAAGTGTTCGAGTTCTTGCTGCCTGAGATACAACAGCTGCCCGGGGAATCTCGTCAGACCAGCAAGTTAACTGCTATCCACAGTTAGATCTGATCTTTCCCACCCCCAAGCATATACAAAAGATTTTTGTCATTCTTGGCGTTGGGCAATAGAAGTAGCAAGACATGCCAGCAGGGCTCTAAAGGCAGAATGTCCTTCCACCTGTTTTATGCTGTACGACAGGCTTCCGCAGGCGAGGCGGCGTGGAGGGCTGTTTCCCTGAATGGCAGCTCAATGCGCCAGCAGGATCCTTGGCAGCGAGGCCCCGGCGCTGAGGCTGGGCATTCAGGAGAGCTCAATGGAGAAAAGAAACTCGAGCAAACTGCTTCCTGGTACACTGAGAACCTGAATGGGAAATTAAGAAGTACCAGATTCTGTTTTTACACCAGCCAAGGTCAGATTTCCAAGTTCCTATTTATTCTATTTTTTTTAAGATTTTATTTATTTATTTTTAGAGAGGAGAAGGGAGGAAGAAAGAGAGGGAGAGAAACATCAATGTGTGGTTGCCTCTTGTACCCTCCTTCCCCCCACCAGGAACCTGGCCCATAACCCAGGCATGTGCCCTGACCAGGAATCAAACAGGCAACCCTTTGGTTTGCAGGCCGGCACTCAATCCACTGAACCACACCAGCCAGGACCAAGTTCCTATGTATTCTAATCTTTCCCCCCAGAGTGCTGTGGCAATGTATGAAGGTAATAAAAATTCTCTCATTTTTTTCTTTTAGAAAATAGCATCACTGCCGTATAAGACTCTTGCCTGCGAATTTTCCCCTGTCCTAAAGTAACAACTTCATACCACAAGTCAAGCAGGACCATGTGGAGAGTGTCCTCTAGGAAGAAAGGTGACATATTCTGCATCGCAACGGGACAGCTCCTTAGGTGAGAGGCCTGAGCATGCCAGCTTGCTCCTTGACCATTTCTCATGGGATGTCCCGTTACCTAAAGCTGGAGCTACTCTGGCTGGTGTGGCTTAGTGGACTGAGCGCTGGCCTGCGAACCTAAAGGTCTCTGGTTCAATCCCCAGTCAGGGCACATGCCTGCATTGTGGGCCAGGTCCCCACTTGGGGTGTGTGAGAGGCAGCCAATGGATGTTTGTCTCACACGTCAATATTTTTCTCTCCCTTCCCCTCTCTCTAAGAATAAATAAATAAAATCTGAAAAATAAAAAAGGAAAGCTTGGGCTAAAGTCTGGCCTCCGCTTGCTTGGCAGACAGAAATCGCATCACTCAGGAGAGCTGCTAGACAGGGAGAACTTAAGGCAGGAGGAACTGCCATAGCGGCCGCCGAGGAGAAGTCAGGCTTTTGTGAATGTTGTGCATCTGCCCGGAGCCCTCCGGAACGCTAGCGTCACCCCTGGACGCCCAGCGGTTGGGGAACGGAGCAGCCAGCACTGGAGGGGCCCCGGGGAGAATTCTCCCAGCTAGTTTCAGTTTTTCAGGAAGCTTAAAGTGATTGTTGATGCAAAATAAAACCTCAAGGATGACTTCTGGTTAGGAAAAAAAAAAATCTTGACTCTTTGGTTTCCTCTGGGGAAGAGGAATTCATAATTGTTAAACAAATGCATTTGCTTATATACAAAATCTTTCAAAACAGGACTTCTGTAGGGAAAACCCTATTAAAAGGGGTTTTCGGTGGGAACTGAATTAAAATAGTTATAGAGACATTGTTTAAAGGATGTAATTTTTCAAACTATTTTCATAAAATATTTACAAACAGTGGCTAACTTCCCGTTAGTTTTTGCATCTAATTCAGCTGAAGTACTGAAGATTTGAAAAGATTGCTCCAGCAGAAGTTCCAGAGCGGCTGCCATCCGCAGAGCCCGCCTTTGCTGAGTGTCTTGGATCCCAGACGCTGCCTTCTTTCCCAGGGCTGCAAGGACACAGCAGCGATTCGGGAGAAGCACACTGTGCTCGGGCCAGGGAGTCCTCACGTAGAGCTGTGGGTTCTCCAAAGCTGAGGCAGAGCGTGCACACAGATTTCCACACATTCAAGAACTGTAAGCAACAATGTTTACTATTAGCCTTCCTAATTTCATCAGCAAGAGCAAAATGTGTTGTTACTGCCCTGGCTGGTGTGGCTCAGTGGACTGAGTGCCGGCCTGCGAACTGAAAGGTTATCCGTTCAATCCCCAGTCAAGGCAAAATGGGTTGTTTCCGTGGGTACAAAAGTGCATTCATTCATTAAATCATCAGGCATTGCTCATAGACCTGCCCTATGCCGGGCTGTGTGCTAAGCGCAGGACTGACAAACCCTGGCATAGCGAGCCCCTTCTGGCTTGTCCAGAGAGGTCGCATCCAGACTTCACAAGGGACCAGTTTCTCCCTTCCATAGAACCAAGGTCCTCAGGTGCTCTGCCAAGGAAACCCTGTAAAAAGCTAATATCTCACCCCAGACTGGATGATACTAAGAAGTCTGATTATACCCCCACCAACTAGGTCATTCTCCCTCCTGCCCCACAAGCAGGAGAGCAGGAGGGGCAAGTTCCCTTCCCTGGAATGTCCGCCCATGGCGTGCCCAGCAGAGAACCTGGCGTGGCCCATCTCTTGTCTCGTTCATTCTTGCATGTAAATTTCCTCAGGAAGGCCCATGAGTTTTCGTGGAATTCATCGCAAGTCCTGTTACATGACAAAAGGATCTGGCTACACAACAGAGCATCCCAGCTTCTGGGACACTGCACAGCACAAGGCCGGAATCGCCTGTTCTAGAACAACCCCTGTCCCTCAGCGAAGAGGCCTGGATTTTCAGCTCTGGTGCAGGGGGCCAAGGAGGGCGGGGAAGCACTTTGAGGAGTCCATAGCCGCTCCCAGCTGGAGCAGGAAGGCTGTGCCAGGGAACCTCGGGGTTCCCCCTCCAACAGCTCAGCTCCTCCGCGACTGTGGCCATGACATCGCTGTGACCGTGCCTGTGCCTGTGTCTGTCTGAAAGCCCCCTCCACTACTGATTGTGGAGAGGTTTGTTCATGTGCTTAGTCAAACGGAGCTGCTTTAAGACTTAAGGGAGATAATGGATGGGAAAGTGCCTGGGAAATGTGTAAAGCTCTAGCCAACTAACAGTATTTGACTATCAAAGGTGTCTGTATCTTTGATCAGTTTTATTTTTATCAGTTCCATCCTTACTTTGTTTTTAAGCCAGGAATTTTTTCTCCAGATGAAGGCTTATGATGAAGCCCAAACTATGAAATACACATACATGGTCCTGCTCCGACTGAAGTGGGGGGCAGGGGAGAACTCCAAGGGTTCCCAGGGACACAACTTGAAAAGCACTGGAAGAGGCACCCAAAGGGTGGAGAAGCTTAGAAGTTCCTTAAAAACATAAATTCTGCCTGTTTCATAGCTTGACTGTGGTGGTAAATCCACAAACCTACAAGCGTGACAAAATTGCATAGTTCAGAATACATACCTCCACAAATGGGGACGCGTAGAACCACGGTGAAGCTGGAGAAACTGGCAGGCTGTATCGATGTGCCTTTCCAGGTCGTGATATTGTACTATAGCTTTGCAAGATGCCACAGCTGGGTCACGCAGGGTGTGGGGTGCACAGGATCTCTCTGCATTATTTCTTCCAGACGACTCTGCAAGGGACTCTGCAATTACCTTAGAATCAAAAGTTTCATAATAAGTAAATAAATCCACAGTGTGAACTTTGTATCCTGTCCTTTCCCGCCTCCTGAAACTGCAGAACGGTCAGACAAAAACCTACCTATGGCCACCAGCTGAGATTCTTTGGCATCCATGTTAATGGATATAGGCAGATGTATCAAGAAGCCTTCTGGTTCAAATAAAAAATTGTCACGTTCTAAAGAGAATGTTCTATACTCTTTCTTTTTTAATTTCCCAAAGTACCTAAGAGGAGGCAACACAGTGAGTGTTAAATGAAAGAATGATAAATGCCTTCAGAGGTCGATACAATTCTCAGCATTTCTAGTCTCCCCAGGCAACGGCAGAGGCTGCATCGCGAGGTGAAACAGGGCCTCACACAGGCAAGAGCAGTGCAAGACCACAGGCCTTGGTCTGCAACCGCAGCTCACACCCGGCCCTGCAGCCGGGGTGGGGGAGACACAGGCTCTCACCTGAGCAGTTCTTGTAAACTTTTTTCACATAGCTGTGCAGATATTTAGTCTTTTTGTGGGGAAGATATTGTGACATGGGTGTTTCTCTTCATAATCCATTTTAAACTTTGTATTTCAATTATTAGGTCAATTAAAACTCTTAAGAACTGCATAAAATACATTTTGAGCCCAACTGTAGACTGCTAGCATCTACAGGTATCAGCACAGCTACCAGACACTGTTCCACCTGTTTGCCTCTATTGATACAATTGGGAATCTTTGTTTTGCGAGACGTGGAGCGTAGCCCCAAGTGTAGTTTCTGGGATGGCTAAGAACCAAGGAGGTAGGAGGGATGGTTTTAGGACTTAGGTTTTAGGGCTTGGTTTTTTTAAGCTTAGATGGGTGACGGCCAGAAAGTGAGGAAACTCTTCACAAAACAAATCTTTACAATCCCCAGCTCTAAGCATCGCTGCTCCAGATCCCAGGGGACAAAGCAGAGCACAGAGCTGGGAGGAAGAGGCCCCTTTCCCTGTTTGGTCATGAAGTCCCATGCGGCTCTGACGCCCCAAGGGCAGCCGAGCTGGGTGGGCAGCGCTAACAGCGACTGTGGACTTGGCGCCCTCAGCACCACTGTCATGGTGACAGTGACAAGCAGCACTGACGCTTTCCAAGTGGCCCCACAAGAAGCAGACCTGCAGGAGCCGAGCAGGAGAGAAAGTACCAGGCGAAGGTGCGTGGTTATGGTTGCGGCGGCAGGTTTGCAAGCAAGAATGACACAGCCTGTTGGGGACGCCCAGAAGTAGCCGGAGGACCCTGAGGCCGAGCTGAGCGCCAGTTGTTCGCTCTGTGATTTGGACATCAAAAGGAAAGGTAACCTGATTTTGCATAGTCTGGGAGGCCCGGACGTGCTGTAACAAAACTGTAATTGCAATTAATGGGCTACTTTATAAGTCACCTAATTTCACAGAGTAATTGGAGGCTTGCAATAAAATGAGACTGGTGACTTGCAATAAAACAAGGAGATTAAAGCCACTGCCAAGAGACGGAGACATAGGTAAAAAAAACTGTTTCAGGGTACACAAAGCAAGAATAATACAGAGCTTGGGAAGACGGAAACTTGCTTCGTGGATAGCTTTTTACCACAAGTCCCAGCATTTCTTTCTAGGAAGCACTTAGGAGTGGAAATATGGACCAAAAAAAATGAATAGAGGACTCATGTGGGTTATTTCTATGCCTCTCCACATAAGACTGAGAAAATGTCAGTGGTTTCCAGAAAAGGAGGAGGGGTTTGTGGACACGGTGGCTACCTTTGGTCCCACTGCCGACCCCAGAGTTTCCCTAGCTTCTGAGCCACTTCCAAAGCAGCCTTGTCAGCTCCCACAGGACACATGGCACAGGCCCCCTCTCCTCCAAGTAAGAGCTACCTGGGCGGCAGACCGCGGGCCGCACATGTGAGGCGGGATGGCTACGGCCTGGAGTCTCTGCGTGCTTCTGGCCCGCCGGCACCCTACCATGGACTGCGATGAGAAGCACCTGCCAGCAAACTCTTATGGTCAGAGCAGCTTCCTGGAGAACGAGCCAGGGAGGCGCTCGATGGCAGCCCGCCTTGACCCTCCCAGGCTGTCTGTCCATTTCCCTCCTGCAACTAAGTGTGACGGCTCAGCCTGCGGAGCTCAGCCAGTGAGTGACTTCCCCAGGAAAGCCTTCTCTGACCCAGGCTGTGCATTGCCCTCTTTACTTCCTCCTACGGATCATTTGTTAATATTGGCATAACTGGGTATTGAACTACTGCATATAATATGACAAGGACCACGCCCATATTGTTCGCCGGTGGACCCCCAGTGCCTGGCACATGGTAAATAAAAAATATTTGTTGCATGAAGGATTGTTAGCGTCATCCACAGAGCTTTCCCTACATGGCTTAAGGCTTTGGCTGAAGCACTTGGTGTTTCGCCTCATTCGTCCCACTTCTGCTATTACTATTTTTAAATATTATATAAGCAATATGCGAATACGTGATGCTTGTAAAGATAGTCAAACAACACAGCTACATCTAGGAAAACAGTTCCTGGACGTGCAAAGCCCAGGCTTAAGGATAGCAGAGAATAGATCGGAGAGCAAGTGGACAAAAACCCAGCATGTGCAGTTTAAAATAAAACACCTAAATAGCACCAGGATGTAGGCAGTGCTCTAAATTTATCGCATCGTTTCTGCCGGGGTGAAGTCTGGTTAAAGTGGCCGTTGAGAGGACAGCCGCAGAGCGCAGAGGTAGGCAGCAGCAGGCAGGGGCGTCGTAGGAGAAATGCACCCCCAACAACAGGAAAGGCTCAGGGGCCAAGAGTGCGTGCAGGTCAGGCAGGAACCAGGCCCAACCGGCTCTGCAGAGAGTGAGATGGGGGCGGGGTGACGGGCTGGTTACCTCCCACCGGTGAGCAGGCTCAACGATCAGAGATTTTAGAGCCTAAGAAGGGAATGTAGGTCTCCCATTTCAGCTCGTGTCTTCTGCAAAATGAGGAACCAAAACGCGGAGAAGTGAAGCGATGGGGCCCAGCCGCCCAAAGAACAAAGCCTATTTTTTTGTCGTTTTTCGCTTCATGGGGTCTGGCAGGGGAGGCGATAGAGGCCAGTGCAGCGCCGATGCCTTCCCTTCAGGTTGTGAGTCACTGAGCAGCCCAGCAGAGCAGTTTGGTGAGGACTGCAGAGTTCCAGAGGCAACCATTCTAAGGTAACCTGCTTTGTAGGCAGTGCTAGGCACCTGGCCTGTTTTGGAAAGGACTTCACCAAAAAAGGCCTTTTCCTTAGAAACTCCTCTAGCCTCTTGAGTCTGGATTTAATGGCCTTTGGCAAAATTTCAGGACCTTCTGTGTGTGCTAGCTACGAGGAAGAACAAAATGCATCAAGGAATGAGTCGTGGACTTTCAGGAGTTTGCAGCCATACAGGGAACTGAACACCAATGATTCTGATGCAATGTGACAACTATAGTAAGATTGGCAGCTCAGAAGAGGGAGTGAGATGCTGCTCGGGGCGGGGAGCTCAGGGAGGTGGACAGAGAAGGCTGAACAAGGGTCAGAGGAGGCATAGTAGGAAGACTCGGAGCTCCTACTTCGATTTTAAAACAACAGCATTAAACCAGCCTTGCCCGAAACACCACCATTATTCCTCAGGGCTTTGCAAAGCAACTGTTCTTGCCCCATTTACCTCCCATGATGCATTATAAACCACATCTACATAATAATTTTGAAAGTAAGCGACAGAGAAAATGAGTCCTCTGGCCCCATCGGCCAGCGTCAGCAGGGCCAGATTAACCTTCGGAGACCAGAAGTGTGATGATGATCCCCACATGTAATTTCTTAAATTTGTATTGCATTTATTGGGGGTGCCATTGGTTAATAAAATTAGACAGGTTTCAGGTGTACAATTCTATAGCACATTGCCTGTATATATTGCTCCCCACGCGTGATTTAATACAAAAGCCATGCCAGCAGCCAAATGCCTCTGAGGAGGCCCAGCAAAGTTCTTTTTCTACAACAACACCTTTTATGTATTTTTGAAAATATCAAATAGCCACCTCTTACCCACATGTTTTTCTCGTCCTTTTGGTGACCCAGCTGTGCAGGTACCCCACGCATGTGCTGGCTCGCCCCAGGGGACCCAGCCCTCAGGAGGCAGCCCCACTGCATGCCGAGACCCCCCAGGCGAGGCTGGCCTCCACAAGCTCCTATTCCTGTTTTTCACAGGTGGGCTAGGAGCTGACCCTCCACCTCCCCACATGGCGCATGCATTAAGAGTCTGTTCTTTATCTCTTTCTGTCTATACTCTCACCTTGCAACTCAGGAATGTTATCTGATGGCCCAGAGGTCTTGCTAACCATAAAGAAAGGCTGGTGTGAGAAATGATTTCCTTATACTGAGCTTGGCAGTGCACAGCAAGAGAAAAACCATATTGCAATGAAGTGTTGATGAGCTCCAGCTAGTGAAACAGGCATGGCTGGTTCAACGCTTGCTCACTCTCTCATTTGACCATGTGATCCTGGGCAAACTACTCTGCACTGCTAAGCCCAGGTTTTGCCCTCTAAGGAATGTGGTCATTGAACAGAGGTCATTCTTTCGGCAAACATTAGATACAGTCTTACCATGTGATACAGCAGTGAACTTACATACATAGTGCTTATATTCTAGTGGAAGAAGATAGAAAACAAAACTAAATAAATAGATTATACATTATGTTAGAAAGGTCAGGGGCTAGGGAACATTGGCAGGGCTGCTGTTTTAGATGCAATGACCAGAAGGGCCCAAGAGAGGAGGTGACTAGGTGACAGAAGCAGGTGGCCCTCCAGGGGGACAGCCTTCCAGACAGACGGGACAAACTGAGGCAGGAGCGGTCTCGTGTGTTTGAGGAGCAGCGAGTCTGGCTGACGATTCGCTGGGGATGGGGTGGAGACGGAGGGGAGGGGAGGGAAGTGAGGTCAGAGGGTGTGAGAGCCGCAGCGGGGGGCACGTCTGACTCACAGCTGAGTAGGACCCCTGGGTAGCAGGGTTGAATGCTGGTTCAGGAGGGCGAGGGAGGAAGCTGGGAAACTGGTTAGGGAACCCCCGGCAGAGAACCAGGTAAGAGAGGAAGCCCGCGAGGTCCTGAGCAGCGTGGCTTCGCGGACCCACTCGGGGACCCGCACGCACACGTGTGTATTGGCAGGGGAGGTCTCAGCTGGGTTCTGCTTTCGGCAGCTATCTCAGCCACCCACCTACCACCATTATCGTCATCATCTTCATCCTCTTCCCCCTTTCTTCTC